CACACACACACACACACACACACACACACACACACACACACACACACACACACACACAGTAAAGTCGCACAGTGTGCAGAGAAGTGGACATTGCAGGGGTTCAGTCTTGCAGCCATGGATGGTAAAAAGGAACTGAGGGACAGTTGGGCTCATTCGGTCTTTATGCGCATGGGTGGGTGGTAGGCAAGGGCATCCAGCATGCAGGCACAACCCCAGTGGATACTGCTGGTCCAAAAAATCTGATCTGGCACATGCACACCAGAAGTGGAATGCATGTGGACAATCACAGACACCACAGTGATAGACACTTTAAAAGTGAAGCCAAAAACTGCACAAGATTTTTAAATCTGTTAACTAATAATTTGAGAGGATTATGATCTTGGGGCATTTGCTACAAGCCATAAGAAGCTTTTTAATAATCCATATGGTGAATTCATTAAATAAAACGACGGGGGAGGGGGGGAGCGGGGATTCTGTTTTCGGACCTGCCCAGTGATTCTCTACTTACATGGTTATATTTTGTTTTTGCTAAGACCCCAAATTCTACACGACTGAGCTAACTGAGTTCAATAGGTGCAGGATCAGGCCCTATATGCACAGATCTCATTGGTGGCAATAGGAGCTGCAAAGAAAGCCAGACATCCAAGATGAAACCCACTGTGTAGATCGAGAGCAAAATTTTTCCATACTATGCAACTTTGGATTTTTTTTATTTTTTAGAATTACATACATCTTAAAAGCTTAAGGTCAGTTTGACACATTCTATTTGAGATTCTAATTACATATAACATCAGAGGGGTAGCCGTGTTAGTCTGGATCTGTAAAAAGCGACAGAGTCCTGTGACACCTTATAGACTAACAGACATATTGGAGCATAAGCTTTCGTGGGTGAATACCCACTTCGTCAGACACGTCTGACGCAGTGGGTATTCACCCATGAAAGCTTATGCTCCAATACGTCTGTTAGTCAATAAGGTGCCACAGGACTCTTTGTTGCTTTTTACATATAACATTTATTTTCAGCTTTCCTGAGAAAGGATTTTGTATCAATGTTCTTGAGGTTTTTTTTTTTTTTAAATTAGAAAGGGAAAGAGCAATGGGGAACTCACCTCTGAAAAGAATCCACTTCCTGTAAAAAATTTTCACACATTCCAAAAAGGGGTTCCACTCTGAAATGAAGATAAAAGGCTCTTTTTATTTTTCTCCCCCAATTAAAAACTGGTTATAATCCTACCAGCATTATAAAAGTATCTAGAGATTCTGGAACATCCTGTGCTTGTGGAAAGTGCAAGATCTTACAGATGAGAGGCCAGCAATGATAGTTTCATAAAATAAATCTTTGCGTTTAAACAGATTCTTTACCTCTGTGAAGAAAGTATTAACTTCAGCATTGTAACATGGGAAACTGAGAAGTAAATAGGTTAAGTGACTTCCCAAGGCAACTCTGTGTTACAGCTGGAAATAAAAGCTAAAAATCCAGCCTCCTAATATTGTGCCCTAACCATGACGAACTAAGGGTATGTCTACAGTGCACCTGGAAAGTGTACATTCCAGCTTGAGGAGACATATCCGCACTAGCTTTGATTGAGTTAGCAACACTAAAAATCCAAGTGTAGCTGTGGCAACATGACAGCGGGAGGGACTAGCTGCCCAAGTACGTAATCAGCATCTTGAACTGGTCTGTACTTGGGATGGCTAGACCCTTCTGCCACTCGTGCCACAATAGTTACACTTCCATTTTTAGTGCACTAGCTTGATCAGAGCTACTGCAGGTATGTCTCATACACCTTCCAGCTCCAGTACAGACATAACATAAGACTCTGATTGTGCAAACACTTAAACTCGTGTGTAACTTTACTCACTTGAATAATCAAATTGAACTAAACAGGGCCACTCATCTGATCAAAGTTCTGCACATGCTTAAGTATTTGCAGTACTAGTGCCTAAAACACCCACTGCAGAAATAAGTCAGTCAAAAGATTTTTTTCTTTTCTAAAAGAAAAGACTCATTAACAAGCTTATAGAGTAATCCATTAATATAAATATGATGGGTTTTTTTTTAATATGCAGCTGACATTTTCCTATTTAAATAAACTCCAAATTTTCAGGTCTAAAATGAATGATGCCCTATCAAATTAGAAGCGATTAGATACGTATTTCATATCCTTGTGTCAGAGGAAAAAACCCAAGTGGTTTGTACACTCCTAGCAAGTTCATAACTTGACTTTATGCTGTGTAGTTCAACAGGTGCTTTGAAGATAAATGAAGAAACCATCTCATTCTCAACAGTCTTTTAATGACCTGTAATTCGCATATGATTATGTATTACACATGTAAGTTACCTTTGTCATTTGCAACCAAGCTTGAGAGAACTGGATTTTTGCAGTTAACCCATTCAAGAAGCCTCCCCTGCAGGTAATTCTTACCCTCTAGTAGTACGTGCAGTCACTATAAGTTGTAACGCTTTGGCTTGCAGTCTCATGTGGTGAATAATGACCACTTGTCTATTTTCCACTCCACTGTACATAAACTCCATTTTGTAAGTTTCTTCCATAATCTACAATATAAACACCATGTGATTAACTGTGTCAGATTTTGTTCAGCTGCTGGGGGAGTGTGGTCGTCAGAGTCAGAGACCTTACTCATGCATCTCAGTCTCATAAGTCTGAGATGAATAGCATCTCAGTCTCATAATTTCAGTTGAACTATTCATGGAATGAGATAGTACCAAACATGTAAAGGGGATTAGAGTCTAGCCCTAAATAAATTAAAAGAAATACAATGCATGAAATCTTGCAAAAACAAGGATGTTCATGGGAGGTGTCTATGTGCTGTTTACCCATCCCTCTCTCTTTCCTGATGTCGTCATCTCTCCCTGCATCCTGTTTCAAACCACCCACATTGTAAGCTTTTTGGTGCCCACTAACCCACTCCTGTAATAATTGTCCTGATACAGTAGGCTAGCACAAGAGGTAAGCAAAAAACAGCAGCCACAAAGACCCTGTTTGAGTTTAAGATCTAAATGGTCAGTTTCAGGTTTGTCTTGATTTTGATTTTTTTTTAAAAGTGTCCAATCCTCTTGCAATCAACTTTATAGTCAGGAATGCTCCTGTACGATTTCAAGCTTCAGCTACAAAACAAAACATAGACGTCATTCTGGATTCTCTAAAATATATAGTTCAAAGTTTAGGCAATAAGTTATCCCATTTGTGATGTTACATTAGTTGATTATAGTAGAACATATAAAATGTGCACAAATAAATTGGAGAAGTGCTTAGATTATTAAAGAAGGTTGCTAACTTCTCTGCAAGTAGCACTTCATATTGAAGTCAAGTACCACCAAGTTACACTGTCAGAAAGGTTGGCCTCTCCTCTCATTTTCTGGCAGTGAGCTGCATGTGCAATCAGCACAAGTAGCCTCGCCGAGGGGTCTGTGTACTGCTGGGCAGAGCTGCCAGTAAAGTTATTGCAATTAGAGAAAGATATACAAGCCTAACAGACTTTTGTTTCCACCAGTCTCTGGAGACAGCTGTTCACAGCACAGTGGGCTCTGACAGACAGTGATAGCTGTCTCTTCATTACATTTTAATTAACTGGAGACTCAAATAGTCAATATCTTCTCTCAACAGGACTAGACACTTGTTTCCGGCTTAGAGAGCTATTCAGTAACCTGGAAACAAACCTCTCTCCTCTGCTTCTACTTGGATTCTCCAGTTTGGGCTTTTCTGTGCCTGTTCTCTGTCATTTCAGGGTAGCAGCATCATGGGTCTTATCAAAATTGAACATGGGAAAACCTTAGATTTGTATTTAGATTTTCAGAAAGCCTTTGACAAGCTCCCTCACTAAAGGCTCTTAAGCAAAGTAAGCTGTCATGGGATAAGAGGTAAGGTCTTCTCATGAATTGGTAACTGGTTAAAAGATAGGAAACAAAGGGTAGGAATAAATGGTCAGTTTTCAGAATGGAGACAGGTAAATAGTGGTGTCCCCCAGGGGTCTGTACTGGGCCCAGTTCTACTTAACAAATTCATAAATCATCTGGATAAAGGGGTAAACAGTGAGGTGGCAAAATTTGCAGATGATACAAAACTACACAAGATAGTTAAGTCCCAGGCAGACTGCGAAGAGCTACAAAAGGATCTCTCAAAACTGGGTGACTGGGCAACAAAGTGGCAGATGAAATTTAATGCTGATAAATGCAAAGTAATGCACATTGGAAAACAATCCCAACTATATATACAAAATGATGGGATCTAAAGTATCTGTTACCACTCAAGAAAGAGATCTTGGAGTCATTGTGGATACTTCTCTGAAAAACAGCCACTCAATGTGCAGCGGCAGTCAAAAAAGCTAACAGAATGTTGGGAATCACTAGGAAAGGTACAGATAAAAAGACAGAAAATATCATATTGCCTCTGTATAAATCCATGGTACGCCCACATCTTGAATACTGAGGTTAATGGTGACCAGATAATTAACACAGTTAATATTAACAAGGAGGAAGGAACACAACCCAAAACAGGGAAAGGACAGGTTAAAGAATAGTTAGATAGGTTGGATGTATTCAAGTCATCGGGGGGGCCTGATAAAATTCATTGTAGAGTATACTATGAACTTGCTGAAGCCATCTCTGAACCCTTAGCAATTATCTTCAAGAACTCATGTAAGCACCTAGAGGATAATAGGGTTATAAATAATAGCAAACATGAATTTGACAAGAACCAATCACGCCAAACCAACCTAATTGCCTTCTTTGAAAGGTTTATTGGCCAAGTGGATGGGGGGGAGGAAGCTGTAGGCATGATATAGCTTGATTTTAATAAGGCTTTTGACACAGTCCCACATGACAATCTCACAGGTAAACCAGGGAAATATGATCTAGATAAAATTACTATAAAATGGGTGCATAACTGGTTGAAAAACTGTACTCAAAGAGTAATTAATAATGATTTACTGTCAAACTGGGAGGACGTATCTAATGGCGTCCAGCAGGGGTCAGTCATGGGTGTGGAACTATTCAATGTTTTCATTAATGACTTAGACAATGGAGTATGCTTATACAATTTTTTCCTCTTACTTAATTGGCCTCTCAGAGTTGGTAAGACAACTCCCACCTGTTCATGCTCTCTGTATGTGTGTATATATATATATCTCCTCAATATATGTTCCACTCTATATGCATCCGAAGAAGTGGGCAGTAGCCCACGAAAGCTTATGCTGTAATAAATTTGTTAGTCTCTAAGGTGCCACAAATACTCCTGTTCTTTTTGCGGATACAGATTAACACGGCTGCTACTCTGAAACTTATAAAATGTGTGGATAACAACAAATGGGGAGGAGTTGCAAGCACTTTGGAGGACAGGATTAGAATTCAAAATGACCTTGACAAATTGGAGAATTGGTCTGAAATCAACAAGATGAAATTCAATAAAGGTAAGTGCAAAGTACTTCACATATGAAGAAAAAACTCAAATACACAATTACAAAATGGGGACTAACTGGCTAGGTGGTAGTACTGCTGAAAGATCTTGGGGTTATAGTGGATCACAAACTCAATACGAGTTAACAATGTGATGCAGTTGCGAAAAAGGCCAATGTCATTCTGGGGTGTATTAACAGGACTGTTGTATGTAAAACACTCCTGTTAATACACCCCAGAATGACATTGGCCTTTGTAATTATGTTGCTCTATTTGGCACTGGTGAGGCCTCAGCTGGAGTGCTGTGTCCAGTTCTGGGCACCACACTTCAGGAAAGATGTGGACAAACTGGAGAAAGTCCAGAGGAGAGCAACAAAAATGATAAAAGGTTTAAAAAAACCTGACTTAAGAGGAATGGTTAAAAAAACCCTGCTCATGTTTAGTCTTGTAAACAGACTGAGGGAGGACCTGATAACAGTCTTCAAATATGTTAAAGGCTGTTACAAAAAGGACAGTGATCAATTGTTCTCCATGTCCACGGAAGGTAGGAAAAATAGTAATTGGCCTAATCCGCAGCAAGGAAAATTTAAGATAAGTATTAGGAAAATCTTTCTAACTGTAAGGGAAGTTAAGCACTGGAATAGGCTTCCAAGAGAGGTTGTGGAATCCCTGTCCTTGGAGCTTTTTAGGAACAGGTTAGACAAACACCTGTCAGGGATGGTCTAGGTTTATTTGGTCATGCCTAAGGCAAGGGGGGGCGGGCCTTGAGGACGTCTCAAGGTCCCTTCCAGCCCTACATTTCTATGATTCTATGGTGACTTTAGCACAGCTGGTCTTGTGAGCGACTGTCAGACTAGTCAGACTCAGACTCAACTGCAACAAAATCAGCCTAGGTAGATCTTCCTCTGAAGACGACACGCAGAGAGCTTTTAGTTTCATACAGGAATTTAAATATGTTGAATGTGGAGTTCTACATAATCATAATATCTTCAATCAGATGGTTGACTCATAATTTAGATATCACCCAATTATCTGAGTGTGTGTAGTTTTCTTAAAAACACACACACACACACACACACACCCACCACCCCACAGCATCCACGCAATTCTGAATATCTTCAGTACATGTGGAGTTACATACAAGTCAGCCTAGCATTCATCCCACACTTCACACACAATTCATGTTGCTTTTGGAATCCAAGATTACTAAAATAGTCTATTTGACTTAAATAGTAAGAGGCATATAGGGAAGGTCTTTGCCCAGAGGACTTGTCCTCATGAAGACATGGCTCCTACAATCTCACCTGTTTTGCAGCAGCTGATGCCAAAGCATTCTGTTTCAGGTAGAGAGGAGCTGCCACATTCCACAGTTTTTCCTGGAGGGCCTACAAAAGAAACCCATGGAATATTGATAAATGTCCAACACGATAATTTAAGAGTGAAAATGAAGTTATATTCTTGTGCTAACAGGGCTTGGGAACAACACAGGAAGAGGGAGTGGTTTTTTTTGTCTCCCAGACAACCCCTCCTTGCTGCTCAAAAGGCAGCACTCACAGTTTCTTCATTCCTGGAGAATGTGTCGGCCTGATGCAGGGGTGCCTTTAAAAATATGAGCAAAATAGAAAATGGAGGAATCTGAAAACTCCATAAAATAAAGTAAACAAATACCCCTTATCTCCACCATAGGTTTCACATGTAAAAGCTATACTCCAAGTATGAATTTATTAGCTACTTGCCAGAATAGCTTTAGTATAAAGTATTCTTTAAAAGGTACAGGATATGGATATTGGGAAAACAAGAAACACTCCCCTATCCTGGATGATCACCACTTTCTCAGACCGAGATCAGGAACTCATCAGGTTTCAGGCAAGCATAACAGCCTGTTCTCAGAAGCTCATGGACCCAGTAATATTCTAGGACACCTCTGTAGGCAGTTCCATCCCCACCAAACAACAATGGAGAAGATTTAGTGAGTTACTAAGACTACTGGATAATCACAGCTGCTGACACTGGTACCAAAGTATCTATTGTTTTCTGAGGATTTGTGACAGAATCAGCAAGGGAGATCCACTGCCATGCTCCACCCCCTACACTGTCCACCTCTCCCACCCAATCTTCCCTTCCATATGACTGCACAGCAACACCCCGGGAGCCAAGGTTCAGAACATGCAGGGTGTTCACTATCTGCACCAGCTCTTAAAATCCTGCACCAGCCCCATGCACAAGGGAACAGCTTTAGTTCTACGTCTGAGACCCCTTGATCCCAGAGAGGTTGGGAAGGGGCAGGATTTGCTCCTAAGTGCTTCTGTTCTGTCACAGAAAATACTTTAGTGGAGTGTTAATTTCCTAATGAAAGGGGCTGACATGGCACTGGAGGGGTCTCACTTTCCAATCTGTTTAAGATTTTAAATTGTATGGTCTTTCCAGGTTTTATGAAATCATGAGTAGTTTAGAAAGATCGCTGCCTTTTCCCTCACCTGAGCCAACCTTCAAGTAGAATCTACCCACCTCCTACAAAAAAGAACTTATTTTTGCCAGGGGGTCACGATAGCATATCCCCTTCTCCAATGTAAATAGGTTCACGTCAATCACCCCCCTGCAGGAGAGGGACTGTCAAGGTAACTCCCAAGCCCTGATTCTCTGCATGGGCAGCACATACTGCTTCTGCAAAAAGCTGCTGTCGCAGCTATTGACTAGTGCATTGAGTTGTATCTGCTTATATGTAATACTTTCTTTGGGTTGCACATTTACTTGAAGATTTGCCTGGCCTAACATTGAGAGAAGCCAAATGGCAAATTCACACAGAGCAAAGAATGATTTTTTCCCCATTTTTATAACCATCCTCTATTTTACTAGGCAATACAGTTTTTTTTTTAGAAGGGAATCAATTGCAAATCATTCATGCTTTGCACTTTTATAGTAGATATTCAAAGCATATACACACTAAGTTAATCTTCACAACATCCCTGGAAGCTAGGTAAGTACAGTAACTCCTCGCTTAACGCTGTAGTTATGTTCCTGAAAAATGCTACTTTAAGCGAAACAATGCTAAGTGAATCCAATTTCCCCATAAGATTTAATGTAAATAGGAGGGGTCAGGTTCCAGGGAAATTTTTTTCGCCAGACAAAAGACTATATTTTATATATTCACACACAATATAAGTTTTAAACAAACAATTTAATACTGTACACAGCAATGATGATTGTGAAGCTTGGTTGAGGTAGTGGAGTCTGGGATATTTCCCAGGGAATGGCTTGCTGCTAAATGATTAGCAAGCATGAATGGAGGGAGGAGACACAACATGGCAGAGAGACGCACACACCATGTGAGAGAGAGATGCGCATTGCCCCTTTAAGTACGCTGACACCACTCTAAGTACATTGCCTTTTTAAGTAGATCAGCAAGTTGAGACAGCAGCTGCTGCCAGCAAGCTCTCTCCGTCCTGAGGTCTGTCGTGTCCCCCACTCCCCCCGCTCTGTGGAAATGGGGTACAGGAGTAGGGAGGCAGAAGCAGGGGAAGGGGGACACCCTGACATTAGCACCCCACACCCCTACACAGCAAGCAGGAGGCTCCTGGGAGCAGCTCCAAGGCAGAGGGTAGGAGCAGCACACGGCAGTGGGGGCAGGGACACCTGAACTGCCTGGCAATTGATAGCCTGCGGGCAGCTGCCACACAGGGGGCTGCCCGTCCACCCTGGTTCCAAGTCCCCACCACCAGCTCCAATGGGCTGCTCTTCCTGCAAGCAGTGGACAAAGCAAGCGGCTGCCAAACAGTTATAAGGGAGCATTGCACAACTTTAAACGAGCATATTCTCTAATTGATCAGTAAGGTAACAACGAAACAATGTTAACCAGGACAACGTTAAGTAAGGAGTTACTGTATTATTCCTGTTTTATAGATGAAGAAATGAGGCAGAGAATTTAAGTTCTGCTCTATGCTAAGAAACTGACCTTCTGCTGACAACTGTTGTCCTAGTGGATGAAAACAGTTTACCTGCTATTGGGACTGTTTCCAGTATGATAACAGAGAGCACAACGAAGACTCTACTCCAAGTCTTAGGAATCTTTTCTGCATAGTACTGAAAATAGTTTAGTTCCATCGGCAGGCAAACCACTTTCAGCACCAGTTCTGCTAGAACCATTACCAAAGACCATCGTCAACAAAGGGTCAGTGATCTTGTCTCCACTGGGATTTCAAGCCAGTGTAGCTGCACTGTGCAAACCCCTTGTGTAGACAAAGTTTCCCCTGGTGCATGGTTTAGATCAGTGGAGCCACATCGGTGGCTGAAATCACAGTATAAACAAGGTCTAATTGATTTGCCCAAAGGCACAGAGGGGAAGCAGCGTCAGAGCTGGGCTAAAAACTGTAGCCCTTAGCGCCAGCTTAGCCTTGATTTTACCTAGCAGCAACTCAAGGAACCTGCAGGCCTGCATATTGTAAAACACTGGCTTAAGCAAATTAGCATAAATGAAGCATAGGCCTCTGACCTTTTGCATAGATAAAGTGGCCCAACGGTCACTCTAGATTTTGGGGAACTAGCTTGCTTAAGAGAAAAGTTGGCATAAAAGGAGATGAGGCAACCGTAGGAATACGGAACTGATACTAAGCTTGGATATTTTAGGATAGGATCGTTGGTAGATATTTAACCACAAACTTGCTTTAGCAATAGGGTAATGAGCATATAGGGATTAATATGCTAGCCTACCAGGTAAGGAACCCCACTATTATGAGGGCGAGGAAATTGGATATGGACAGAGGAGACTGGGTACTTTTATGAATATTCATGGTGCCTCCCTGGCTCTATATAAGCAAGAACCCACATGAAGAGGAAGCTAGCCCTCCACCCTTCAATATTTTAGTGCTATAATCTATCACCTATCTTCAAGCATTAGGGATCCAGTCCATCGGACTCATTTGGCATGCCAGAAACAGGGCTGGTCCTTTGTCTCTTACCACTTTCTTGGCGATCTGGTGGTATGCGTATATAAGCCTGTGAACATATGCTATACAAGAGATAACATTTAAGATCTCTCTAATACTCTATTAATGCTATTGCTTTGGGACTTTCCCTTCTCTAGTAACTGTATTAATAAAGATGGTTAAGGTTGTGTTTTGCTGTGTGTGTGAGTGCCCTGGCCATACACCCCAGAGTTCCCTATAAGATACTGAACTTGTCAATTTTGATTCTGTTGTATCTGATTCTGGGGCAAGAACCTTAGTACACTCCTCTCATTAAATGAGTCCCACTGGCAACCATTACAGGATCAGGCTACAAACCTCAAGAGCCCTTTACTTCCAGTCCTGTGCTCAGAGCACCACTGGATCCACGATTTCACATAAATCACTTTTCCTAAAGCAGACTTCATAAGTGGTTAGACTCACTAGCACACATGAAATATGGTAAGTGCAAGATTTGCCCAGCACTGCGCTGGCAAACACACACAGCCAATTACAACATGATTCTAGGCCCTAGGAACACAGATGAAGCCTAACCTTGATGAGGAGCAGCTGACACCGAAGGTAAGTTGCGGAGAAGTCTGCCACCCCTGCCAGTTCTGACTGAAGTTCTCCAAGCCTCTGAAGGTCACTGGAGAAAATAAGAGAAAATGCAAAATTCAGATACCTTAAAACACCATCATAAAGCACTGTAAAAATGTCAATTTTAACACATTCCAAATCCTGCAGCAGTGGCAAGGCCGAAGTTACCTAATTCTGTATTTTACCTCTGCCCACCCCTATAACCACCCCAATTAACAGCAGCAAAACATGCATGGCAGAGCAGCCGGCACCTGGGAACCTGTTAACTTCTCTCCCCTTCTTGTAGGCTGACATGAGCAGCAGTTAATCTGTCATCCTGCATTACTCTGCATCCCTATAGGAACCATACAGCAGGGTGGCTCCAGATTAAACACAAACACTCCAGATGTTTGTAGAGCAGCAAACAACCAACTTGTATTAAACTGCTGGGAAATCTTTCTTCTGATGCTAGCTAGAAGGGATAGCTTAGAACATACTGGATTCATATAGCCAATTATATTTGGAACACAGCTGCATTTCTTATTTTGTAAGTCTGATGCTGGGGTCAACAACCTTTCAGAAGTGGTGTGTTGAGTCTTCATTTATTCACTCTAATTTAAGGTTTTGCGTGCCAGTAATACATTTTAACATTTTTAGAAGGTCTCTCTCTCTAAGTCTATATTATATAACTAAACGATTGTTGTATGTAAAGTAAATAAGGTTTTTAAAATGTTTAAGAAGTTTCATTTAAAATTAAATTAAAATGCAGAGCGCCCCAGACCGGTGGCCAGGACCCGGGCAGTGTGAGTGCCACTGAAAATCAGCTAGCGTGCCACCTTTGGCACACGTGCCATAAGTTGCCTACCCCTGGCTGATGTATAGTTTACAAGAGCCGGTTACTTAATGCAACACACAATAGGTAATTGCTCAAATACCAGTACAGCAATCAGTCACACCCATGCCTAGATTATGCTGACAGGGCAAACTAAGGGCACATCTACAACACATTTTGTTTAGATAAACTGGGGTGTAAATTTACCCCATACAAGCCTACCATGCACTAAATGTCAGCGTGGACACTGCTAACGTGCATAACAGTTCATTAGCGCACTTTAATCTACTCTTGTTTCAAAGTGGGATAGATCAAAGCACATTAATGAACTTTTACAGCGCGTCAGCAGGATCCTCAGGGACACTTAGTGTGTGGCAGATTCACACCCCAGCTTGCTGTGAATTAAATGTTTGTGTAAACAAACCCTAACTGAATATGCAGAGTTTTACTACTCCAGTTTGTGTGGAATTTTAAACAAAATCTGGGTTTCTATTTAAAAAAAAGAAATCTTATCTTCAGTTCTGTAGAAATCAGAGATACAAAATACAGTCCGCCTTCTAATTTTTCATTCTGCATTTTGCTTTGTAATTTAGTCTTTCCAGTTGTTGTTTTTTAAATCATTGTGTTGGTTTCTTGCATCCCCCTGCTGTAGTTATGTCTGTGCAAAGGGTCTGAAAGAATCCCGATCTTTGTACCCAGAGAAGCTACTTCCTAATCAGAGGGGCACCTTCTTCCTTAGATGCAACTGCAAGAAAGCCAATTTGGGGTTTACACAGCCAGTCAAGTTTACCCTTCTCCTTGGGAAGGGAGGGGTAAAAGGAGAAGAACTGCAGACTCCTTACTGTCCAGTCATCATGTCACGCTCAATTTGTCCCCAACATCCTAATGGGAGGGGAGGGAGCTCTTCCCTGGTTAATAATCAGCCAAATAACTAGAAGACCATCTTCAAAGCTTCTGTGGTTGACAATTCCATACTTATTTCTGTATAAACATTATTAAGCCTCCACACCCTTGCAAGGTAAGCATGATCCCCACTGTACAGATAGAGAAACTGAGGCAGAGATATCAGAGATGTTAAGTGACTGGCTCAAAAACCTGTGATACCTCCACTCTCAGTCATGTGCTCTAAGCACTAGGGAATGCCATCTCACTGGGCTGAAAGGAAAATTGCTTCCCCAGCTACCAGTAATTACAAGAAAGGAGGAAGCCTACTGCTAGGAACTCTTTCTACCCCTCCCCACCCAACAGTCAAGGTAGCAGCATCTTGTCCACCCCCAAAATTTGTTTTGATATATTTTAAAAAGCACAGAAGTCCCTCCCTCCCAAAAAAGCCAAAGGGTAAGGATTTTAGTACAGTCCTTGGACTGCAGTACTGCCTGTAGTCGCAGAAGGAAGGTAGATATGGAGATAATTTACATGAATTCCCAATGCACAACTATGCTATCTCCCGATTAAGCTGTCTCTTTGCACAAGCTGCATATGTGGCCCTCTGCCACATACACACACCAGAAGTGCGTCTTGTCGCCAGCTTAGGGAAGCATTCACAGCTCCTATGAGCTTTCCATAGCTGTTTTGTGCTTCAGAGATTTCAGATGTTCTGCTAAGAAATCACCTGCATACAGCCACAACATTTAGTTCCTAAAACATTCCCAAGACAATTTTTATTCTGTGTGCAGTAGTTTCTGAACAGCTGGGGACCAGAAACGCATCATCCACCTTTCACACTCATGTTTTAAAGAATGAATACCACATAGTTGATTCCTTACAGTGAGTAGCTGTAAAGGTGATTTATGGCTACAAGTACAGCAAAGATAAATTGGGAGAGAAAATAAACCTGTATGGAATGCTGCATCCACATTTGAGATCTTTTTCATTGCATTGTCCAATACTTTCCTGCCACTCAACTAAGGATCCTTTTCCTGTCCAGGAGACAAGGCACACGGGAAAAAATTCTTTCCAAGTCTCTTGTTCATGCAAATCAATCAGTAGATGAATTGGAAATGGAAAAGGCAGCACAAAACCTTCATTTAAAAGCCATACTGAATCCTTATCTATACAAAACAGACTGTGGTGCATAATAACGTTGCCTATTTGGGGGAAAATCTCTCCTGTGAATTTAGTATGGGTGAAAAGGACCAGACTATTTGACGATTGGGACTGGGGGGCAGAACCCACCAAACAGTGGAAATCTATACCCTCCAGTGAGCGAGGGGTCACAGAACTCAGAAATCAATGGAGTACAGGGGACAAAAACTGAACAAAAGGGAATAGGTGTGCAGGTCACAGGGTCAAAATGAGTGATCCAGAGTGGGCCACCGAGCAGAAAACCCATGGATATTATTGACCGTCCTAGAGACGAAAGTCCTATTTATCCCCTGCCTGCAGAGCCAGATTAACTCTCCTGTGGGCCTGGGGCTATTAGATTTTGTGGGGCCCCTGGGGGTTTGGAGTGGGGGAGTGGGCTCAGGGCTGGGGTGCGGGAGGGATGCAGCTCCAGCTGGGCGGGGGGGCCCTCTGGGTTGGGGCCAGGGCTGGGACAGGGGGTTAGGGTGCAGTAGGAGGTTCAGGGTGCAGGCTCTGGGTGGGAATTTGGGGGGAGGAGGGGCCTCAGGGCTGGGACAGGGGGTTGTGGTGCAGGAGGGGGCTCTGGGCTGGGGTGGGAGTGCAGGAGGGGGGTGCGGGGTGCACGCTCCGGCTAGGAGACGCTTATCTCGGGTGGCTCCTGGTCAGCAGTGCAGCAAGGCTAAGGCAGGATTCCTGCCTGCCCTGGCTCCATGCTGCTCTGAGGTGATTGGCATGTCCGGCCTCTAGGCAGAGAGGCCAGGCCGTTCTGCACGATGCACACTGCCCGTGCCTGCAAGCACCGCCCCCGCAGCTCCCACTGGCTGCGGTACCTAGCCAAAGGGAGCTGCAGAGATGGTGCTAGGGGCAGCGCGCAGAGATTCCCTGAACGCCCCTCGCCTAGGGTCCGCAGGGGCACAAAGGTGAGCCGCTGCTTGCAGCTCCAGCCCGGGGGGGCGCTGAGACTTGGGGACTGGTGTCCAGTGGCACGGAGACATGCGGCCCGCTGCTTCTTTTCATCCAGCCCGTGGGCCTGCGAGGCCCCCCATAGCCGGAGACCCTGGGCTGCAGCCCCTAAAGCCCCTGCATTAATCCGGCCCTGCCTGTCCGTGCTGCTCCTGTTCTGTGAAGTGCAAGTTTCCCCAACGTTATCCTGTCCTGGAAGGACCTCCTCTCTAAATACAAGATGGTAGTTCTCTCTACATGCCTGTTAAAGCTATGGCCCCTATTGAGACTGTCACAGGTGTCAACTGCAACTGAACAGAAACAGGTCTGGGACCACCCATTTCACTTCACATGGGCCTAATCTTGTTCACAACATTCTCTTCAGAAGGTTCAGTCTAAGAGCCCAAACTGGGAAATGAAACAACATCTAGAACCACAGTAGACATTTCAGAAAGCTGGGAATTAGAACAATTCTCCTGACAATGATTAACAATAATAATAATAATAATAATAATAATAATACTTAGCTCTTATTTTCACCACTAGACCTCAAAACACTTAAAAGTACACAGCCTTACCAAATGGTGAATTCAAGCAGCTCCTGTGTGCTCTGTGGGTCTAGGTGCTGAAGGTTGTAAACTCTCTCAAGACTCTGTTGCAGGAACTGCTGGGAAGGATCTTCATGAGGGGTAACACTGGGGGAAACAGGGGAGGATACTAGTTTTCTACCTGGCAACTGAGCAAAAAGGAAAACAACAAACAAAAACAAAAAAGCTAAATCCAGATGACAAAATTCACTTGGTCACAATTTTGTGTGTCACCATTTAAACAAGAATTCTACAAAGTGGGAACTACAACATACTTTTCTAGTTCAGAATTTGCATCAACACCTTCAGTTTCACATCTTCATTATACAAACACTTTGCAGTTCTAGAGACCCCGCCCCATCCAAGGATCTCAATGCACTCTACCATTAAACTTCAACTCCTGAGAAGGCGGCATCCCCATCTATAAAACAGGGATAGTGACGCACAGTGCTGTTAAAGCGTCTTTGCCAAGATCACACACGGTGAAATTCTCCCCCATGTAGAGGGGGCACACTAGGCCAATGGGGTATGGGGGCATACAGCTTGACGGGGCAATCCTACCCGTAAGTACAGGGCTTAAGTGGAACTGATGTCAAGCAGGGGCCTTGTTGCAGGTCCTCTGCAAAGGGGTGAATTTCACCCAGGTGCTGCAGAGCAGTGAAAAGAACTCAGGAGTCCTGCCTCCTAGTCACCTTTTCTATCCTCTAGATTATACTCATCTCTTTTATATGGAAAAATAAGTTGATTATTCTCTCAGACACCCCAAAATATTACAAAATCCACACTGTAATGAGTTAATATTTCATACACACACTTCACAAATACAGCAGCATTCACCCCACTGAGGGAAAACCAGTCTTCTGAAAACAAAAAGTTACACCAGTGGCGAATGAACAATGTTCTCACTAAATATTCACAGCAACTGAGAGAATGATTGGTTACCCCAAAAACAACTTACTCTCAATGGAGGGACAAGATGAGAGAGACTGTCACGAAGATAGGCGTAGTGTCTGAAAGTATGATCCGAGAACAGCGCTGGCATTGTTGGGCAAGTTTTAGCAGCATTAAAAATGAGAACCAGGACAGCAATATCTATTGAAATGGGATGTTAAGGAAAAAATGGTCATTTTCAGATTCCTCCTCGGTAGCGAGTTAACGAAACATTGGACACTTCCTTTGCTGGAGATTATTTATAAAGTTCTGTACAACAGGAGAAGAATGCGGAGCAAAAAATCAAAACAGCTCTCTGCCTAGATACTAGGTACACCTCTACCCCGATATAATGCGACTTGATATAACACGAATTTGGATATAACGCGGTAAAGCAGTGCTCGGGGGGGGGGGGGAGGAGAGAGGCTGCGCACTCCAGCAAGTTCAATATAACGTGGTTTCACCTATAACGCGGTAAGATTTTTTGGCTCCCGAGGACAGCGTTATATCAGGGTAGAGCTGTACTACGTTACAGTATGCTCCACTGACAGACTGGTGCAAGGACACCACCAGCATCAACCAGTTATACTTAGGAAGTAACGTGAAGAAGATTTTGTAAACTAACATATTTTGGACTGCAGTAAGAGAAACAATTTAACTCAAATGGAGTCCTCTTTACTCAACTTTCTCCAAGCCTTTACTCAAAAGGACAAATGTATTCAATTAATTGCATTAGCCATCTGGTTAGGTGTAAACCCCTCCTTGCATTCAATTCAGATTCTCTTCAATTCCTAAAAGGGTTTATTCTAGTTATATTTGCACAGGAAACTCTGGTGGACGGTGCACGAGACAGAAACTATACTTCACAGAAGTAGAGAGGGGAGAGAGTAGTTCCAGTGTAACTGTTCTCAGGCATTTTAAACAAAATTGTGTGTGGGCGATTACAGAGATGAGCAGTGAGGAGAATGAACAGAAGAAAAATATAATTTTAAATTTCTATAGCATCTTCCTTTGCCAACGATGATGATTATGACGATAACACATAGCACATACAGTGCTTTAGATGTCCCAGTGCAAACATTAACTTATTCAAGATTTAGGAGAGAAACCAAAGTGCCCCACAAACTATAAACTTATATTTCCACTATAATTTAGCCACTTCTGGAGTGAAAGACAGCAGTCAACCAGAACTGCAGAACAGTGGAAGAAGGGGAAGTTTTAGTTAAACGCTCCATGGCAAACCCTCCGCTCACTGAAAGGGCTAACGGATCTTTAAGATTCATGCAGACTTTGATCTTTAAAGGATTTATCTGTCAGACACACACACAACAAATTGCAAGGTACCTAGTTTATTCACCTCAGAGGGATAAAGGACTAATTTGATCCTGCTGGCATTTGAACTAGGCAACATAGTTATTCCAAAACCTGACCCCACCATTGGATGGATAATAAAACAGAGTAGAACAACGGACACTGAAATAGCTGAAGTAATATCTTTTATCGGACCAACTTCTGTTGGTGAGAGAGAGAGAGAGAGAGAGAGACGCTTTCCAGCTTACACACAGCTCTTCTTCAGGTCTGGGACACTAACTAACCCGAAAGCTTGACTCTCCCACCAACAGAAGTTGCTCCAATAAAATATATTATCATCACCCACCTTGTCTCTCTAATACCCTGGGACCAGCATGGCTACACCAACACTGCATACTGAAATAGCTGTAAGAGTTTACATCTGAAGCAGTAGAATGATCTGATTATTAGAAAAATACGTATAATTATTCTACCAAGTCAGCAAGGACTTGTTGTCAGACAGGGAAAAAAAAAATACAGGATACAGGCTGGGTCATCCATGTCAGGTTCTGGGGTGTCAAAAAACGGATGAGTACTCAGCAGCTCTGGGACCAGTGGAAGCACCAGAGTAGGATGCCTGCAGCCCAGGAACTTTAAGCACCTGAAAATACACCGGTTAAGAACATTTCACAAAACAGTGGTGTTATTAATACTATTTCATATTTATATTACAATAGCCCCGAGAGGCCCCAATCAGAATCAGGGCCCCAGAGAGTTAGGCACTGCGCATACACATCCAATGACAGTCTGAAGAACTAACAGTCGTAGTTTTGCTGGACCCCATGAAATGCTAATGAAACTGAAAATATAGCCTGAAAAACATAATTAGAAAAAAGAGGGAGCATCAATTAACACAGTCTACTTAAATTGTAATCACTTTGGGAGTAGGAACCTGTCTTGCTGCAAAATACCAAACACACTTTGGGGTGCTATGTTACAAAAATTAATAACCATGCCACCTTTACCAATCTTTTCTTTTCTTTTTTGTTAAGTATCCAGAATATGCTGTAAGAGGCTTTTAGAAAAAGCAGTTTAAAATAAATGCTTCTAAGCGTCAAAAAAAAGTTCAATTTGAATCCACATTTTCTATAGTAATAACTTGCTTGTCGCTTCTCATTTTAAAAAATGAGAAGCATACTCTCTTGGGTATTGTACATGAAAATCAATGTTTGCTATAAGAACAGGAGTACTTGTGGCACCTTAGAGACTAACAAATTTATTAGAGCATAAGCTTTTGTGGACT